CTGTAAATTAACAAACTCTCTGCAGATAAATATAAATATGTATAAATATATATAAAATGCAACGTTTTGGTATTGTAAAGTTATTGATTGGTTATTTAGACATGGTACATGTAAAAATGCTTTGTAAATATTCCTTCGTGTGTAAATATCTGTATATTTAAAAAATATATTCAGAAAAATTAATATGAGAGAAAGTTTTCTACAAAATTTCATAAGAACAGCATTCACAAATCTTAGATCTTACGCACAATGGAACGGAATAAATATTAAATATTAAAGAAATAAAGAATTAAGAATAGAGATTAAACGTAACGAGCAATAAATACAAATAAGATATGATATTTAATATATTTTATATCTTATTTGTATATTGTTTAATCTCTATATTCCTAATCTTTTTATTTTTCTAATATTTAAAATTTATTCCTGTTCCTAATATTTCCATCATTATGTGCACAATCTTATATTAACAGTTTATCTACTATATCAATTTAAAATCAATCAAACATATTGCGAGAGATTATTATCGTGCTAAGCAAAGATATAATTGTTAGTAATTATTAATAGCCGACATGTTAACGAGAATGTAACACACACGGGTAAATCAATATACCCTTGCCGATCAGCATTGAACTGATATCTGCAAACAGCGCGGACAAATCATATTCGCCGGATACTGGAAAAATAACGTGAGCTTTAAAAGATTTGTGCTTGGGCGGGTATCGCGTGATCGAAACAGACATTGATATCTCGCGGCCACACTGTCCATGCACTTACTAGAGTTACGAGTATAATTACGAAACTTCTCCACAGTGTACAGATTATTTATTCTCTTAAGTGCGGTGCTCCTAATTTTAGTAGAAGACACTTCCGCGGCTCGTGATCTCTGTTTCGTCAGCGACAAATAGAGCATCACCTCACCTGTTTCATCACCAATTGCCCAGACCAGCAGATCCACGCACGCGGAGTTGGCCATTACGTTCACCTTAAAGCGATTCACAGTCCGGAAATTCGTGTCGATGTCTTCGCGCTCGCTCGCGTCATGCTGCCGCGATTGCAGTTCCGTCTGACCCGAGAGAAACAGGCCTTTCACGAACTCCTGCACATCCCTCGTGAACGGGGCCGGTAAGTCGCGCTGATTTTGTAACAACTCGCGCAACAGAGCCACCATCACTAGATTCATCGTCTCGCTGAACGTACGATATGGGAAAATATGTACTTGACCAGAATTGTACACCTGAAAAAAAATTGCAAAAGCAATTAGGATAATATGTAGAGAGAGATATACAAATATAATTTTTTATCTATAGAAATAAATAAAATAAAAATAATCATGTGTAATATGAAACTTACTTGCTGCGCCTCTTCGTCTAGAAATATCAGGATCTCCTTGGTAAGTAATTTTTTGGCCAAAGCTAGCACACTTTGTAAATGCACCACGGTAAATTGCATCCCAGCCCTTCTTTCGGGGCTCTCATTACAACGCATCTGCGGAAACTGATTGAAACTCGACCCATAACGGCTGAAGAAATACGTCGTCGGATCGTACGGAACTGATAAGAAGGATTGCAGTGACGGTCTTTTGCCGCAGTTATAATCGTGACTGTCGTAGCCTGGAAATGCGTTGTCCATACAAGAATTAAAATTGCCGCTCAGAGATCGTGGGATGATGGGCCTGAAGTTTGAGAAACTGTGTTGTTTCTTATCGGGCATCAAGCGATTTTCCGTGCTGCTCACCGGCGAGGGTGTTCCTCGTCGTGGAAAGATACGGCAAAGTAATGGCGGATCCGTACATGCAAAGCGACCCATTGATCTTGCCAGACCGATTAGCACCGGAACCAGACATTTGCATAGTGATACTAAAACAATATGTAACATCAGAACGAATTTCTTTTATTAAATAATGTAAAATATACCTTAAAATAACAGCAAAGTGCAACATTTATAATTAAAAAATGTACTCTATGATTTAAATACAATTTCAATTTTTTCTTCTATTTTTCAAATTTCAATTCAATTTTTCTGCTAATACAATTTATTTTTAAATATAATTTTTTTCTTTAAAAAATTATTATTTATATATCCTTAATTTTGATTGCTGCCAAATCAAAACATACCATTCTGAAAAAAAATGTCTGGTTCAAAATGGAACCAGAAAATTCTAATTATATCGATCAGAGAATTCTGATTATTTTAATTAAAATTTTAGTAGATTTAACCAGTAAATTCATTTTTAACTAGAATTCCATTAATCCAACTAGACATTTTTATGAGTATGTTTGTTTTTCAATATAGTTATTAATACTAAAACTGCCAATGGTACCATTTTGGCTCCGCTAATCATTTCAATTCGTTTCTTTCTTGTATTAGATATACAGAATAGAATATTAAAAATATGTGAATAATAATATATAAATACAAGAATAACAGAAATAATTCTAATATCAAAATAATTCCACTAAAAAAGAATGGTAGGAAATGAACAAGTTAGCACCTTTGCAGTTTCAGAATATTATTGATGGTTCTAATGTTAATACTTACTTTTTGCTTGTAAACCCCTATTGCTATTTTGATCCTTGTATCCACGTATCAGATTGGTCAGGACAGCGAGTATCTCGACCTGTGTCGAGATGATTTCTTCTCGTACCGGTTCGCACCTGGCTGCCACATCGCTCAGCAGTGTGTTCAGACAGAAGCTGAAACGTTCCGCAACCGGCACCCGTTCGGCGAGCGAACATTTTACCTCGTCCCGCCACACTGCCTTTGAAAGACCACGCAACAATCTCAAGAGGTATGGTAAAATTTTATCCCGGTGTTGCAGACCAGACTCCAAAAAATAAATCCCTAATGCAATAGTTGCATCCTGACTCCTTTGATCCAAACGAAATACACCCTGAGCAGAATCTTGTGGACATAACTTGTACAGTTTGTTTACCTGTAATTAAGTGTAAAAAATATTACTTTTATCTCCTGATAAAAAGTGCATTAATTCTTTGGTTAAAAAAATAAAATAAGCTCTCTCTTTTTCAAAAGAGAGAAAATATTATAAATATTTTATAAAAATATTTTAAAATATTGTGCATCATATTTTAATAATTTATATTCTAATTAATATTTCAAATATGATAGAGAACGCTAATTAATATTAATATTATGCATATAATTATTATATAAAATATGTATATATAAAATAATATAAAGTATATAATCTTATAAACATTATTAAGACTTTATAAGAATATCTATACTCTTATATTTTATATATTTTATATTTATTATATAATATTATATCTTATCAATTTTACAAATAATCATAATTTTATAAAATGCCGATTTCTTTCTGCTTTAATATTTTACAAATAATTGTATATTTATCGTGTAATCTTGATATGTTACGTTAACTGCGTATAATTTCGGGAGTATATTTTTGTACACCGCAGCAAAAATACATTTTTACTTTTCTAAGACTTTTTTCAAAGTCATTATGTAAGCTATAATCATAATTTTTTATAAGACAACAGCGTTAATTATTACGCATCGCAACTATAATTTCCCGAAGTGACATGATATCCTTTTGGATTATGTCATAACATGAAATGTCAGGACGTCAGCTGACATTTCCTGTGTTTAACCCCAATAAAATCGATGGAAAACGAGGAATGTGATACATGTCCGTGATTGAAAAATAGACGTTCAATTGGAGGATTCTCTCGGGAAGAGTCTACTTACTTTTTCCCACGGCGTGGGCTTGATAGCGGCCAAACATCTCGCCAATTGTTGGACGGCGTTTGAGAAAAACAACCTCTCGTCCGCCATCATCTTACACTTTGCAGCCAACTGAGCCGACTGATCGTACCAATCGCCAATACGCCAGTCTCGTCATTCTCAGGGCCGTGTAAAGAAGGGGTGCATAGCATACACTCCCAGTGCAAAGAAGCTCCAAATTGTTTTTATTTAAATATATATATTTTATATTTATTCTTTCTATCTAAATTTATCTCTATTCAGTTTAATTTGCACATGCAAATAATCTTCTTTTTCTTCTTCCTCTAGAACACAAATCTAATACGAAATATGTATTTTTTTTTGGCTGAGCGCGCCACACATACAAATAATATTTACTTATATTTTATTTATACTTCGTAAAAGTAGTAATTTAAATTTAATGAAATCCTTGTATATGTGTAAAATTTAAAGAAAAATTATATATTTTGATAATGCAATTTTTTACTTAACCAAATAGCTTTTATATATTTCACCTTTTGACAAGGACATACACAATTGGTGGTTCGTAATCTGCTATAATTTTAATTATACCGTTTTGTTACATTTTTCTGAACCCCACAAAGCTTTTTTAATACAAAATTTATGAAAAAGTAGGGTCCTATTACTTTTGCACCAAGGCCCTAAAAACTCTTCACACGGCCCTGCGTCGTGCTGTGATTGGCAGCTAAACTAGAATAATTCGCGGAATTCATCGACAAACGTCACGTCAGTAATGTCGTCTGCTAACATCTGCTAGGATGTGTTCCAAGTAACAAAAGCACATAGAAAGAAATATAACAAAGATCTCATTCAGAAAACTGATTGGCAGGAAAATGTATTTTCATGGATAAAATGTCGATCAGTAAAGTGTTATAAATGTGTATAAAACGCAGAAATACCTTTTATTTTCTATCCACAATTAATTGATTTTGCGTATTTCTCTAGTGAAAATTTTTTATAGATAATTTTTCAAAATTATGTAAATTTTAAAATTTCTGAATAATTTTGTAACTTTTTAGGAAATCTCACATTTTTTATACAAATTGAAACACTTTTCAGAAATTTACACATCTTTGTACATATCAATGTGAAAAGATCTTACCAAAAGTCACTTCATTTATTTTAGAGAATGAAAAGAAAGTATTTACCCATATGAAAATTTTGAATTTACTAATAGAGTATATCATTTTTCATATTTTTTTAATAAATGATAACAAAGAATACACTGAGAGTACTAGTTTTAATAAATAAACTTCACGTTATATTTATAAGATTTCTGTCCCAGCACTTTTCACCCATGATAAATAATACTCTAGCTTTTTTAAATACAGAAGTATATTCTTTTTCGATAGGCTTGTGTTATTACTAAGTTTCTGTGAAAATCTCTTTGTGAATTCCCGATTGTTACTCTTGCAAGTTGAAATTTCTTTCTTCGCTGCTGTCAATAACCGATGAAGCTCGGAGAGTGCCGCAGATGTATAAACGGTTTTCATTTCAACGCCTGGTCCTTGCGAAATGGAAGCACCAGCTTCTCTTAGTGCTGTTATAGTTTGTTCATCTTGTGGCAACCAATCGACCTATACATAGAATAATATTAAGAAGTGTATAGTTGATTATAAGGATAGGAAATAGGAAGAATGAGCTAATAAGAATGTGTGAAAGATAGGGATAAATGAATGGATTAAGGAGAATTGTAAACCAAGTCCCCTTCTTGGCATATATATATATATATATATAAAAGATGTAGATCTTTTCCGAAATTCTTCATATATTTAAATTCTGAAATATTCTAAGATTTTTCATTCTAAAATATTTAATAAAATCTTATAAAATGTAAAAAAGTATTAAGATATTTAAAGTTTTTTTTTTAAATTACAGAATGAGCAATCTTAAAATATTTCATAATTGATACAAAAAATTTTAAGCTGTAGACTTTCTCAGTATTTTTGAAAAGTGTTTCAATTTGTATGAAAACTTCTGAGAAAAATTTTCAATAAAAATTTTTTATAATATATACATTTGTATTAACAAGAATAAGATACTCACGTTTTTTACATTGTCTACAACAGATTCAATTGCCGAGTCTACATCTTTGAAAACTTCATTATGTCTAATATTTTCACAGATAATCAGAAAAACATGGGTAGCTTCCTCCGCACAGTTTAAATAATCTCCAATATAATAAAGAGCAACATATGCATAAGCATATATCACGTTCGTCACATTAAAGAGTACACAAGGAGATGCTTTCTAAAAAAAATAAAATAAAATTCAGTCATATTATTTTAACTGTGAATATTGATATTATCGTTACCAACCTGTAATTCATTAAATAATGGTACATCTATCAACTCAGGATATTTTAAATTGCTATAAACATCCTTAATGTCTTCTTCAATTAGCTGAATTAATTTTTTTTCTACACGACAAGTCCACCATGGCACCCATTTAGGCAACAGCTTTTCTACCTCTCCGTTTTTTATCAGTGCTTCAAATTCTTGCCTCTCTGCTTCAGATAAGACTGACCAGAGCTCATTTGGATCTTCCAAATTGACATTTTTCAATCTGGTTTCCAAATCAAGAAGCTAAAAAATATATTCGTAAGAATGAGCATTTATCAAATTCCAAGTAACTGTTGAGAGTATTGATTTATTACTTCTTGCTCGTCATCTGAATCCAATGGATAATCCTCTCCACTGGTATTCCCTTCATCTGAATTATTTTCCAAGATATCATTTTCCATGTCTGCCTCGTGTACTCTCTTAAGGATTTCCATCATTTTTTGTCTAGCAGCTGGATCGTTCTCCTGAGATTTTAACTCATCCTCAACGCACTGCCTATAAAAGCTCTCGGAGCAATCCGTATGAGCATCAGACTTATAACATTCAGCTCCGCAATAGCCTATACCACATCGTGGACAAGTATACAAACGTTTGCGCTTGCTGCACCTAATACGAGAAGAAAAATGCATGTTGACACAATACAAATAAAAGCGAACGGTTTACAATATTTGGTTTTCACAAGATCTTAGGTTTAACGTAATTGTGCAATTTTGTATGAATACTTTTTATAAAATACTGAAATTTAACATTTAATATAAAAAGCTGAACTTACAATTCGCAAATAGTAGTGGTCGAACTTGTGCCAGGAGTTTCCGTCATTTCAAATCCTGGATTTTTGGAATTGCTTCAACCGACTAGTTTTTCACCTCTTTTTGAGGTTATATGCCTGGAATTCTTGATATTATGTTATTTTCAAATTATTTTGCCAGTTCCTTGATGTAATTAAATATAATTTTGATCTTCTCCCCGTAATTTTCCTTGATTAGCTCGAAATCTTCTTACAATCATGCATATACAATCTGTGAAAGATAAAAAAGTAATGTAGAAAAGATTAATATTGCTTGCCGCTCAAACAGTGTCCTACTTTACCGACGCGCTATTTACCGACTGATTCAAGAACGCAGTTCTTCGTTATTTGAAAAGATGTCGGCCCGTGTATTGTTTTCTACGCTTTTAAATTCTTCCCTTTTCCGCTTTCTCTTACAAAAGGCTTGATTCCTGCACAAAGCCAGTCTTTACTTTTTTAATCAAAAAGGTTCTTTCCTATTTAGAACCTGTAGGAATAGTATCAAGACGGGGAAAAGGAATTTGTAGAAATCGCCGGATACGAGTCTGGATTCACGGTTGGAAAATGTTAGGAAACTAACTATAGAACGTACGTCACTGGCTTTAGAACTCATTTATTTTTCTCAAAGAGCATAAAAACTTTTTGAGCTCTTTTTTCCTCTTTTTCTCGTCAATGTCTAACTATATATCGTCTCGCTTTAAATAAAAATGTATATAATAGCTACGTTTACACCGCGCGCTTAGTCCGCGACCTATACGATAGGTGTCTTTGTTTAACCTACAGGATAAACAAGGACATTTATTGTTTAGGCCGTGGCCTAAATGCACGGTGTAAACGTAGCCATTATAGCTGCAAGGGGCAGACCTAGTACAAACTTTTCTATACAATGGCTACATTTA